TGTGAATACACACTAAAAGCTATTTGCACTGTAAACTTTACACGAGTATTTACATGAGTATTTCAATAAAGTTGTTATAAAAGCCAAATGATGTAGCTTAGTTGGTAGAGTGCTTGCCTAGCATGCACAAAGCCCTGGGTACAAACCCCCAGTACCACATTAACTACATGTCTGTAGTCCCACCACCCAGGAAATGAAAACAGTTCCAAGACTGGCAGGGCATGGTGGCACATGCCTTTAATCTCAACACTTGGGAGGCAGAATCAGATCTCTGAGTTCCAGGCCAGCTGGGGTTACAGGGAGACCTGTCTCAAAACGAAAAGAAAAATAACAAAGAAAATTGGGGGGTGTTATGAGTATGAGGGTCATGATAATTATTTTTTTTTTTAAAGATGGAGACCAGGTGTGGTGGTGCATACCTGTAGTCCCAGCACTTGGAAGGCAGAGGCAGATGGATCTCTGTAAATTGAAGAGATCCCGAACAAGAGATTCTGGTCTACATATGACTTCCAGGTCAGCTGGGGCTATAGGGAGACCCTACCACCAAAAAAAAAAAAAAAAAAAAAAAAAAAAAGCAGAGGACCCTAGTTCAAGTCCCAGCACCAACATGGTACCTAGCTGTCTGTAACTCCAGTTCCAGGCGATCCAATGCCCTCTTCTGACCTCCATGGACACTGCATGACATGGGTGCACTTACATACATGCAGGCAATACATTCCCACACATAAAAAATCATAAATACTTGGCTGGGCGTGGTAGCGCACGCCTTTAATCCCAGCACTCAGGAGGCAGAGGCAGGCGGATCTCTGTAAGTTCAAGGCCAGCCTGGTCTACATAGTGAGTTCCAGGATAGCTGGGGCTACAGGGAGATCCTATCTCAAAAATACCAAAAATAAATAAAATTTTTTAAAAAGTGATAAAGAAAACAAAAGTGAACAATGAATAAAATTTTAAAAAAAGATGGGGTCTTGCTATGTTACCTAGAATGGTTTCAAACTCCCAGGAGCAAGTTATAATCCTGCCTCAGTTTTCCAAATAGTTGGAATGACAGGCATGTTGCTATCACATCTAACTCCATTATAAATGTTAGCCTCTGAAAAAAGAATTCTAGGGACTGGAGAAGTGGCTCAACTATTAAGGGCACTGACTGCTGCAGTATCACCCCTACCCCAACACACACACACACACACACACACACACACACACACACAGAGCTTTGGCTGCCAGCAGACCCAGGTTCAGTTCCCAGCACCGATATGGTAGTTAATTGTCTGGAACTCCAATTCCAGGGTATCCAATGCCCTCTTCTGACTCCTACAGGCATGCATGTGGCACACTTACATACATGCAGGCAAAACACTCATGTGTATAAAAACTACTTAATAAAAAAAGGGGGAAAAAAAGTCTTCTCTGTACACTAAAAAGGCTAACTCGGTAGAAGGAAGAATGCTCTTCTGCTTAGACTAGTCTCATCAAATGGGGTCCTTAGAGAAATGGCTAATTCCAAATCTAAAAAGTAGCCGGGTGTGGTGGCGCACGCCTTCAATCCCAGCACTCGGGAGGCAGAGGCAGGCAGATCTCTGAGTTCAAGGCCAGCCTAGTCTACATAGTGGGTTCCAGGACACCTGGGACTACAGGGAAACCCTGTCTCAAAAAAAAAAAAAAAAAGAAAGCTATAAAGACTGGACGAGGAGGTGCATGCTAAGAATATGGCTCAGGACTGCAGAGATGGCTGCTCTGTGGTTAAGAACACTGGTTGTTCTTGCAGAAGACCCGGGTTCAAATCCTAGCACCCACATGGCAGCTAACAACTGTCCATAACCCCAGTCCCAGGGGATCCAACAGCCTCTTCTGACCTCTGCGGGCATGGCATGACATGGGTGCACTTACCTACATGCAGGCAATACACGCGCACACATAAAAATAAAGAATATGGCTCAGTATCAGAATGCACGGTTAGCATATCTCAAGTCCTGGGTTTCATTCCCAGCAACAGATAGCCCAAAGACTATGTAAGACTATGTGCCTGAGCTGTGGTCAGTGATGGAGCACCTGTTTGCCTAACAAGTATAAAGCCCTAGTCCAATCCTGATTGGGGGTAGGGTGGGAGGGGAGAAAGGAAAGAGAAAGGGAAAGGATGGAAAGAGAAGAGAGAGGAGAGGAGACTATTGGGGTCTTGTGTAAAAGGGAATATAAATGGTTGACAAATTGATTATGAAGAATAATAGCTGCAACAGATTGAAATAAAATATGGATAAGTTCACAGGGATATTAAAAATAGACACATTCAGGGGCTGGAGAGATGGCTCAGTGGTTAAGAGCATGCACTTACTGCTCTTGCAGAGGACTTGGGTTCGGTTCCTAGCATTGACATGGCAGATAATAATAGTCTGTAATTCCAGTTCTGAGTAATCTATCACTCTCTTCTGGCCTCTACAGGCATTGCACAACATGGGTCCACTTACATGCAGGCAAAACATTCAGACACATAAAATAAGAATATAAAAAATAAAAACCAAAACAAAACACTAAATTATCACTGGCCATCTTTGGCCTGGGCTATAGGAGGCTGTCTGAAAAACAAATACAAAAACAAAACAAAAAGCCCAACTAATCAAAGGAAAGGAGGATCAGCTCCATGATAACACCATACAAATTCTAGATCTGGGCATTAAGAGGCACTGTGTGTATTTGCTTTTCCCTTTGACAGTTCTGCTGTCGTGGTAAGAATGTACCCTGGTCCAAGGAGGAAGAAAGACAGGCAGAACAGAATTAGCTTTCTTGTGGGACAATCTCACTACCAGGCAATCCCCCAGCTGAGCTGCAAGGACATGAACAGGAATAGGGAGGTACTTTGTCACTTTACATTACTGTGCTAAAAAAAAAAAATCTAAGGGATAGAACTGATTACATCACAAAACGAGACACAACCAGATATCATGTATTTTCTCTGTTAGGAAATATATACTACCACCTTAAAACAAAACAAAACAAAAAAATTCAGTCCCTCCCCAAATACAATAAAAAATAAAACCTAAGTTTGACCAGTTTTTCTGGCTACCAATTAATACCAATTTATAGGAAATTCAAGGGACTAGAGGAACCCATCCAATACTACCCATGGGAAGATGTCAGCACTCGTAAAAAACTCTAATACAAGCTGGTTTCTTCAGCAAATAAGCTGTAAAGAGGGCTACAGAGATGGCTCAGTTGGTAGGAGTGCTTGCCCAGAAGCATAGGGACCTGACACCTAGTATAAAATCTGAGCATGGCTGGCTGTGTGCTCCTAGAAGCCCAGAGTCAGAGGGTGGAGACAGGTAGATTTAGAGATTCCACTTGGCAGTCAGTTGGGTAAAGTGGCACTCTTTGGGTTCAAGAAGAAACCCTGTCTCAAGGGAATGGGGGCAGAGTGTGATGAAGCCAGAAGCCTGAAGTCCTGTGGTCTACACACACACACACACACACACACACACACACACACGCACGCACGCACGCACGCACGCACACACATGCACATGCACGCACAGCTCCAAAGAGGAAACAGAAGAAAATGTACAGAGTAAGTGACTTACAGACTATACCAACAAATCACAATGTGTACATAAGTCATTTAAAATGCTAATTTAAGCCGGGCATGGTGGCACACACCTTTAATCCCAGCACTTGGGAGGCAGAGGCAGGAGGAATTCTGTGCTACTACTTTGGTTTTAAAGATTTATTTTTGTGCATTTGTCCATATTGCCTGTGAGTATATGCACATGTGTCTATGTAGGGGTGGGGTATGTGTATGCCCATGTACATGTAGAGGTCAGAATAGGGTGTTGGATTTCTAGGAGCTAGAGATATAGGCAATCCAGCTTATTATGTGGGTCTAGAACCCCGACTCCAATCCTCATGATGGTATAGCAAGCACTCTTAACTACTCAGCCATCTCTCCAGTCCTGCTACTATTTTTGGAGGGGGAGAGGGATTCTGGTATAGAAGTTAGGTTTAGGGCTGGGAGGCAGGCAGATCTCGGTGAGTTCAAGGCCAGCCTGGTTTACATAGTGTTCCAGATCAGCTGGGGCTACAGAGAGATATTGTCCCCAAAAGACTAAAAAATAAACAACAACAACAAAAAATCCTAGGACTCTGGGAGGCAGAGGGGCCAGCCTAGTCTACATAGTGAGTTCCAGGCCAGCGAGGGTTGCAGGGAGATCCTGTCTCAAAGACCAAAGAAAAAAGAAGTTAGGTTTAAAATTAGAGTCATGAGACTGGGTGTAGTGGTACACGCCACCCAGTACTCAGAAAGTGGAAGCAGAAGAATCAAGAGTTCAAAGTCATCCTCAGCTACATGGTGAGTATAACCCCAGCCTGGGCTACAAGAGGCCCTGGCTCAAGACAAAACAGACAGAACAAATAAAAAAAAAACTCCAGGGGTTAGAGATGACTCATCTGTTAAGAGGACTGACTGCTCTTACAGGACACAGGTTAGGTTCCAAGCACCTATATGGCAGCCAACAACCATGCATAAATCCAGTTCGAGGGGATCCAATGCCCACTTCTGGCCTCTGTGAGCACTGCATGCACCTGGTATACCTGCATGTATGCAAAGCATTCATACACATAAACTAAAAAAAATAAATAAATCAAAACAAACAAAAAACCCACATGAGTCCTGGAGTTGGGAATATAGCTTTAGTGGAAAGGGCATGCCTAATATACACAGGGCCCTGGGTTCCATCCCCAGCATCCACAAATAAATAACACAAGGATTTTAATCTATGAGACATGTTGAAATACTTATGGATAAAAAAAATATGGTGATACTGGGATTCATTTCAAGATAATCTGATGATAAAAGGGAACATATTTAACAAGAAAGACCCTGAGCTGACAGTAGAGACTGGGCAGTGGGATCATAGATGCTATTTACTATACTATTTTTAGTATATGTTTGGAATTTCCATAGAATAGAGCTAAAAAGAAGAAAAATAGTAAGTATTCATCTCCCCACTAACCTGTTCTGTTCTTCCGTTTTTCTCTTTCTGCTTTCAGCTCCTCCATGGCTTGAGATTTCTTATCTAGTTTCTCATCCCGTTTGGAACGTCGTTCTTTATTGTGGGATGTTACCTGGGAAGACATGAAGGGTGGTCTATTTACTAACTCTTGGTAAGATTCTCTATACCAGGGCTGGAGAAATGGATCAGTTCCAGAGTACCTGGGTTTAGTTCCCAGCACCCACATGGTGGCTCACAAATGTCCATAATTCCAATTCCAGGGGATATGACGCCCTCTTCTGGTCTCCTTGGGCACTGAACACCCCAGGTATACTTACTTACCTATATGAAGGCAAAACACTCACATACCTAAAATAAATTCATTTTTTAAAAATTTAAGGGCTGGGCGGGGTGGTGCATGCCTTTAATTCCAGCACTTGGGAGACAGAGGCAGGTGGATTTCTGTGAGTTCAAGGCCATCCTGGTCTACTTAGTGAGTTCCAGGCCAGCTGGGGTTATAGGGAGATTCTGTCTCAAAAAGACAAAGAACAAAACAAAACAAATTCTCTATACCCAACAAGGAATACTTTCAGTCCATGTAAATCACTGACTGTACAAACTTAAAAGCTTTATAACAACATTACCATTGAAATCTACCCGTTGACTTTATAGACATACACAGGCACCAAGGATTTAAGTGCAACCGATTAGGACTAGTTATAATCAGATACATACAGATTAGAGATGCATGCGCCAACATCTCAGTGTTAGTAGCAAAAACAATGAGTCTTTCTGCAAGGAACAATATATTCTAAAATGAAATGGAGATCTTTTTTAAAGGTTAAAAAACGCATTCAATTTTATGTCTTACAGAGCTTATACTGAGTTCAACACTGTATAACTGTATTAACTCAACTGTGAACCTAGAAACTTGCACCCACTTGTGAAAGAGATGTACTCTTGCTCTGGAGTGTGTTACTGAATATGTTAAATCTGTAGTGAAATGCTTCTTCTAATCATGTAGTTATTAAAAATTTAAAAAATAATGATAAAAAATTCATTATCTAAAAATTAAGTTATATTTGAGGAAAAAGCATTAAAAAAAAAAAAAAAAAGCTTTATAACAACAGAGCATCCTCTTGTGGACAAAGAGGACATAGCAGTCAAAATAGTTCTTACTTTACCTGCCCTAAAGTTAAAGAATTATCTGAAGTTTAACACCCTAGATGATGATTTAATATCCATTGATATGCCATTTCAAACACAGAGATGACTAATTTTCACAACTATATTTATACCAAGTCCAGAGTGACACATACCCCAGTAAATATAATCAACCTGATTATCAGGGAAAGGAAGCTTACCAAGCTTTCCTCAGGGATGCTCACACTCAAGTGAACTCCTGTTTAACTAGATTTAAGGGAAGATGTCTTTTTTTTTTTTGGTCTTTTTGAGACAGTGTCTCCTGTAACCCACTATGTAGATCAGGCTGGCCTTGAACTCACAGAGATCCGCCTGCCTCTCGATCCCCAGTGCCAGGATTAAAGGCTTGCTGCCACCAAGCCCACCTTAAGGCAAGATGTCTTAAGGAGTTAACCAGCATAGGCAATGGTAAAATGCTATGTCTAGAGATTAGTGAGACCTTCAGGATGCAGGCAGCATTAAATAATCTTGCATTAACTAACCTAGGTTGATTAATGCACACCTTCTTTTTTTTTTTTTTTGTCATTTTCAGACAGGGTATCCCTGTAGTCCCAGCTGACCTGAACTCACTATGTAGACCAGGCTGGCCTTGAATGCACAACTGATCCACCTGCCTCTGCCTCCAAGTACTGGGATTAAAGGTGCAGACCACCACGCCCTGCTACACACCTACTTCTTACATAAACATATGCACCCAAAACAGGTGTGCTCTTTGGATAATCTCCTACCTGAGATTCTTGAATCTGGGTCAGCTTTTTCTTTTCTTGTTCTTCTTCTTGCTTTTTCTTCTTTTCTTTCTTTTCTTTCTTTTTGGCTGTTTTTAGTTTTTTCTTAATTTCAAACCTGGTTAAAAGATAATTGTTTGGTTCTTAAAAAAAAATAATACATATGTAAAGACTGATCTCTACTAGATAGGAGATAGGAGATAAGAAATAAGTAGGGAAAAAAAAAACATTTTGAGACATGAGATTCTGTTAAAAATAATTTTCTGTTTGTTTCCAGAAAAATACTTCAATGTACCTTAAGTATATTAAAAACACTGAATGTGGGCTGGAAATGGCAGCACACACCTTTGATCCCAGCACAGAGGAAGCAGAGGCTGGGGGGAAGATCTAGGCTACACTGGTCTACATAATGAGTTGCAGGCCAGCTGTGGCTACAGGGAGACCCTGTCTCAAAAAGATAAAAAAAAACTTAAGTAAATAAAATTCAATGTGGGCTAGAGAGATGGCTCAGCAATTGAGAGCACTGGCTGCTCTTGCAGAGGACCCAGGTTTGGTTCCCAGTACTCACATGGCAGCTAATTCCAGTTCCAGGGGATATGATGCACATAAATAATGATGCAAAACACTCATAAAAATACACATAAAAATAAATATCTAGAGAATGTTGAATACAATAACAAAAGTATTCAAAAGCATTAAGTTGGAATGGACTTAAAGAAAAAATATTCAATATCAAGAGTTCAAGGTTAACCTCAGCATGAGTTTGAGACCAGCCTAGGATACAGGAGACCCTGCCTCAAAAAAGAAAATACATATGTATCACACCAAAACTTATGCAGCGGAATACAACCAAATGAACTGAGACTAGGGACTTAAATATCTGTATATCAATGTTTACAGTAGTATTATTCATACTAGCAAAAAAGTAGAAACCTTAACACCAATAATAGATGAATCCATAAGCAAAACTTTGTATATATTTATAACAGAATGTTATTTTATTCAGCTTTAAAAAGGAATGAAGGACCACTAAATTCTAGATGGTTAATTTGAAAAACATGCTAAGTGAAACCAAGAACAGTAGCATCATAACATTATCCTACCAGGAAGTGGGTGCTGAGGTAGAAGGCATGTTTAAGCATCGGGGTACCAGCCAACTGGGACAATACAGCAAGACTGTTTTTAAAAGAACCAGAGGTAGGGAGGAAAGTTGGGTGAAATCTTATGGGTTGTTATACTGCATGTCTTCCTAGCTAAACAAACTACAGAACTTGATGTTTCTGTGTGTAGCTAGACCTCTAAATTGTTATCGCCTGAACATTCTTCTTGCTAAAAATGTCACTAAATGCCAACTGCCTTGCTTATGTAAGAGGAAATTTTTTTTTAAAGGCTCAGGGGTAGAGCACTTGCCTAGTATGAGAGAGAGTCCCTGGGTTTGATCCCCAGCTTCTCCACCCCCCTAAAAAGATCAATCTCAAATATGAAATTTGTGACAAATCACTCATTACTCTTGATATTGTGATACTGGCCTTATAAAGCAACAACCTTCTGTGCATTCCAGTTTAGATATACAAATTATAAAGTAACCCTTGTGACTTCCTCAGTAATTTTTATCTGACAGAAATCAAATCATGTATTCATTTATTTAAAATTTTTTAAAGATTTACCTTATTTATTTATATATATGTGTCTATGCATGTGCATGCAGTTGCTTGAAGAGGGAGTAAGAGGGTATAGGATCCCCTGGAGCTGGAGTTATAGGTAGTTATGAGCTGCCCAATGTCAGTGTTGGGAACCAAACTTGGGTCCTCTGCATGAGTACCAATTGCTCTTAACCACTGAGCTACCTCTCCAACCTAAAAAAATTTTAAATGACATTTTATTTTGTGTGTGTATGCATGTTTATGTTTACGTGTGTGTGAATGCATGCATATGATGGCATATGTGTAGAGGCCTGAGGAAAACTTGTAGGAGTTGGTTTTCTCCTTCTACCACCTGGGTTCTGGGGACTGAACTCATGTTGTCAGGCTTAATAGCAGCTGCCTTTACCTGATGAACCACCCGTCATGCTCAGTTAATTTTTTAGATTTTTGAGACTAGGTCTCACACTGTAGCTTAGGCTGGCCTGGAAATTATCTCCATCCTCCTGCTTTAGTCTCCCAAGTACATGAGCCACCATGCCCAGCAATGAACTGACCTTTATCAAGCTAAAAACAATCTCTTAATTCCTTCAAGAACATGCTTCTAGTACCTCTGTTACAAAAATAAGAGGAAGCAAGGCTGGAGAGAAAGCTCAGTCAGAAAAATGCCAGCCACACAAGCACAAACATGAGTTTGGATCCCCACCACTCACATAAAAGATAGGTGTGGTGGTGACAGGAGGATACTTGGGGCTCACTGGATAGTCTATCTAGTCAATCAGTGAGCTTCAAGCTCAGTGAGAGACACTGTCTCAAAAAATAAAGTGGAACAGAGGAAGGCATCTGACACTGACACCACAAACAAAAAAAGGTGTACTATACACATAACAAAAATAAATACCAAAACAACAGAAGAGTGGACAATGTTGCCACAATACAGTTTATGGAATCAGATGTTCCAATTTAGTTCTATCACCAGCTAAATAACCTGGACAAGCATCTTTCTTTCATTCAACAATTATTTAGTATATATCTAAGTGCTTGTCAGCCACTGTTCTAAGCATCAGGAATAGAAAGAACACTGAGCAAGACAAATAAGACTCCCATGCAGTGTTTTAAAATTTTACTTAATGTCTTTAAGCTGAAGCTGCCGCCTCTCTAACCACAGTCAACTTCATAGGGCTGTGGTGGCGCACGCCTGTAGTCCCAGCACTTGGGAGGCAGAGGCAGGCCGATCTCTGTGAGTTAAAGGCCAGACTGGTCTACATAGTGAGTTCCAGGTCAGCTGGAGCTACAGGGAGATCTTTTCTCAAAAAGACCAAAAAAAAAAAAAAAAAGAAAAAAAAAAAGATACCTTATCTCAAAATAAAAGCAGAAGAGGGGCAGAGGATATGGCTCAGTAATGGAAAGCTTGTTTAGCATGCTTGAGGCCCTAGGTTCAATCACCAGAACTGCAAATCAACAATAAAACCCTCATGAATAATGCACATTAATACATTACTAAAGCTGATGATACCAAGGAAGCAATATATATGATCCTAAGTACATTATTTAGTTCTCATGATGTTAATAATCACATTTTCAACGACTAGTTCATATAAACAGATTTTTCTCAACTTACAGGGGCTAGAGAGATAGCTCAGCAGTTAAGAACACTGGCTGTTCTTGCAGAAGACCCTGGTTCAAATCCCAGCACACACATGGCAGTTAACAACTGTCTGTTAACTCCAGCCCCCAAGGGATCCAACAGCCTCTTCTGACCTCCAGGGGGCAATGCACAACACAGGTGCACTTACCTACATGCAGGCAATACACACATACACATAAAATAAAAATAAATAAAATTTAAAAAAAAAAGAACACTGGCTGTTCTTGCAGAAGTCCCGGGTTCAAATCCCAGCACCCACATGGCAGCTAACAACTGTCTGTAACTCCAGTTCCAGGGGATCCAACGACCTCATCTGTCCTCCAAGGGCACTGTACAACATACATGCATGCAGGCAATACACACTTACACATAAAATAAAAATAAATAAAAAAAGAAAAGAAAAAAAATTTCAATCCACTGCAAGATGAAAGTATCATTAGCTGAAAATGTATTTACTATACCTAACCGACCAAACGTTATAACAGCCTGATTTGGCATGCTCAAAATCTTAAATTATTTTAGTTTGTCAAAATCATCTCAATACATCAATATCTCATGTAATTTGTTGAAAACTTATACTGAATGGGAAAAATAGAATATTTATATGGGTATAGTTTCACACCACTGTTAAATTGAAAAAAATCTGGGGTCAAACTGCTGGGACTCTGTACAGAAAGGGAAGTACAGGAGTCATGATATAAACTGAAACAGCAGTGTAGTGATGACCTTACCTTCTTTTCAACACCTCTCTCTTCTCTATGCGGTTGAACAGTTCTTGCTCTCGCTCCTTCTCAGTCATCTGTTCCAGTCGGGCCCTGTCTTCCTCATCTCCCATGAGATCCTCTCCATAGCCATCATGGAACTCTTCGTCTTCTGATGAAGAGTCTGAATCTGAACTAGAAGAGGAGCTGTTGCTGTCAGAATCTGACACTTCACCTGCAACAAAGACCCAACACAAGATCACACTACGCTATAGTGACCCCCATGTGACAATTGCTTCCCCTTAACTCAGCCAGGTCAAAGGGCACAAGGACATTTCAACTCCCTTGGAATGATTCCTTGATCTGCCTTTGGTAAATGCAAGCACTGATTAGGAAAAATTTAGGCTAGATGAAGGAACCACTGTGTTCTTTTCTTTATTGAGACAGGGTCACACATGAGCCTATGCTGACCTCAAACTCATGAGCCTCCTGCCTGAGTTCTGGGTTGGGTTTATGGGCAGGTGTCATCACACCCAGTTCTCAACAAAATGTTGTTATTTTAAAAAAAAAAGAAAAAAAAAATCACAGGCCTATAGGGCAAAAGCAACAACAAAACCAAAAAGAGAGCATACATTATTAATTAAATTAAATCATCAGTTAAACCAGAATTTGTTTGATTTACTTTGCACTAGCATTCATGGGCACAGGTTTAAAACCAAGGTAAGCCAATTTTCTTTTTTTTTCCCCAAGAAAATGTAAAAGTGTATCATTCTAGTCCTGGGTCAAGTTCAGTCATTAAACTAGTGTTAACAACAAATTTCTGAATTATCTTAAAGAAACAATAGTTTCTATGGAATTTTTAAAAAATCTGTTTCAGCCGGGCGTGGTAGCACATGCCTTTAATCCCAGCAGTCAGAAGGCAGAGGCAGGTGGATCTCTGAGTTCAAGGCCAGCCTGGTCTACATAGTGATTTCCAGGACAGCTGGAATTACAGGGAGACCCTGTCTCAAAAAGACCAAAAAAAATCTGTTTCAAAGCTTTCCCTTCTCGGTCAGACCATGGACTATCCAGAAAAAGGAAGAGAAGACACTCAAGACTAAGAGAAGGTTAATGCAGGGGGTTCACGGGTTCTGAGGTTGGACTTCAGCAGCCTCACCAAACCTTTTGTAATGCAGACCCGTGGCCACTGCAAAAACTAAAGACCACTGCTCTACTGGGAAAGGCTGAGATGGAATGTGGGTTCCTTTCTTTCCCTCTGCATGTCCAACCTGACTGGAATGGCAGCTCTTACTCCCTTCCCAGGGCTAGATGCTGGTCTCACCTTCCTCAGGGGCTGAACTCTCAGCTGAACTGTCTTTGTCTGAACTGCCTGAGGAGGCAGTTTTGTTGGCTTGTTTCTTCATTGTTCCTTTCTTCTCTATTTTTCTGGCTTTTCCTTTCTTCTTATTTTTATTGCTCCCAAATGTCCACTATAAGGAAAAAAGAAAAAGGAAAACTAAAATAGGACTAGGTATTTCACCAACAAAACAGCTGAAAGATTCTACAGTTTAAAGAGTCTCTACCTAGGCCTGGTGACACACGCCTATAATCTCAGCATTCCTGAAGGGGAGGCAGGAGGATTGTGAATTTTTGAAATCAGCATGGGCTGCAGTGAGATTGTCTAAATAAACAAACATAAAAAAGAATACAACTTTGCATATTTTCTGTGACCGAGATGATAGTAACAGCTAAAGGCTGTTGAGTGCACAGAGGATAAGTATCAGGATGGGGAAAGAAGGTGGTACCCAGGAGAAATACTTAAAATTTGAGGACCAATCTCATTTATTTAATCCAGGAAAAAAACTCAAAAGATTCCAATAATCAGATTTAAAAAAATATATTTTATTTATTTTTATTTTATGTGTATGCGTGTATTGCCTGCATGTAGGTAAGTGCACTTGTATCATGCAATGCCTGCGGAGGACAGAAGAGGCTGCAGGGATTATAGGCATGGGTCTGACTTGAATTTCTACGTGAAATGAAAATAGCATTTAAGAATAATAGGCTTGGGCTGGATAGATGGCTCTGTGGTTAAGAACACTGTTCTTACAGAAGACTCGGGTTCGAATCCCAGCACCCACATGGCAGCTAACAACTGTCCGTAACTCCAGTTCCAGGGGCTCCAACAGTGGATTCTGACCTCCAAGGGCATTGTACCACTTGGGTACACTTACCTACATGCAGGCAATATACACATACACATAAAATAAAAATAATAAATAAAATTAAAAAAAAAAAAAGAATAACAGGCTTGGGGAAAACAATGCTGAACTGGGGTCAAAAGAACTGGAATACAGCCAAGTCTTTAACCTGAAATGTTTCCTTATCTGTAAAGTACAAGTAACACATTGACTTGACCGCTTACTATGGGTAAGATGGGACTATCAGAGGACAAAATAAGTTCAGAGCTCATTATAAACCATGTTCTAGCTGGGGATGTAGCTTAGTTGGTAGAGTGCTTGCCCAGCATGCAGGAAATCCTGGGTTCTAGCCCCAGCAGCTCATAAAACAGGGAGGCAGGGACAAAAAAAAAGAAAAAAAAAAAAAACAAAAAAAAACAGCCAGGTGTGGTGGCACATGCCTTTAATCCCAGCACTTGGGAGGCAGAAGCAGGCAGATCTTTGTGAGTTCCAGGACAGCTGGGGCTACAAGGAGACCCTGTCTCAAAAAGACAAAAAAAAAAAAAAAAACAAGAGGCAGGAAGTTAAAGTTCAAGCTCATTTTTGGTTATATAGTGAGTTTGAGGCCAGCCTGGGATACACAAGACCCTTTCTCAGAAACAAAACAAAACAAAATCCCTTACTCTATATAAATGCAACACACTATTTTATGCAGGAAAAAGAAAAAAAAACTTCCAATGAGCCTGCTTTTCTCTCTCCCTCCCTTCGGCTGTCCCCTCTTCCTGTGCTGAAGTCAAAGCAATTGCCAGAAGCAGTCTATATTCAGTGTTATAGATCCTGACAGTAGTGAAAACAAAGGTGTTTGGGATAGCATAGTTCCTGAAGTCAGATTATTTTTCCCCCCTTAAGATGAAAAAGTTAAAGAATAAATGCAAGTTTGGGGCTGGAGAGATGGCTAAGCGTCTGAGAGTGCTGACTGCTCTTGCAGAGGACCCAGGTTTGATTCCCAGCTCCCACATGGCAGCTACGAACTGTACTTAACTCCAGTTCCAGGGGAAATCCAATACCCTCTTCTGATCTCTGTGGCACTGCACAACATGGGTGCACTTACACACATGCAGGCAATACACTAGTACACATAAAATAAAAATAAATTAGGAGCTAGAAAGATGGCAGTTAAGAACAAACTGCTCTTGCAGAGGACCAGGGTTCAATTCCCAGCACCCACATGGAGGCTACCAATTCCAGAGGAATCCAAAACCCTCTTCTGACCTCCACGGCATTGCATGACACGGGTGCGCTCACATACATGCAGGCAATACACTCATACACACACACACAAAAATTAAAATTGGCCAGGCATGGTGACACATGCCTTTAATCCCAGCACTCGGGAGGCAGAGGCAGGCAGATCTCTGTGAGTTCAAGGCCAGCCTGGTCTACATAGTGAGTTCCAGGCCAGCTGAGGCTACAGGGAGAACCTGACTCAAAAAGACCAAAAATAATAATAATAATAATAATAAAATAAAATAAAATAAAATAATAAATAAATGCAAGTTAGTGTCAGTACAAAATGGAAGGTGGGATGGCTCAGCAGACAAAGATGTTTGCTGCCAACCCTGACAACCTGAGTTTGATCCCCTGAACATGCATAGTGGAAAGACGTTGTCCTGTGACCTCCACATAAGTACCGTGGCACATACGTACACAAAATAAATTATAAATTTCTAAAAAGAAGATGAAGAGCCAGGCATGGTGGTGTACACCTTTAGTCCCAGCACTTGGGAGGCAGAGGCAGGTGGATCTCTGTGAGTTCAAGGCCAGCCTAGTCTACATAGTGAGTTCCAAGACAGCTGGGGCTACTGGGAGACCCTGTCTCAAAAAGAACATGAAGAATAGCTTAATTTTCTCTTCCTTCTACTGCATAATTAATCAGTGTATAAAAGGATACTATTACTTTATAATCCAGTAATTACATAATTTAACTAGACAGCATAAAGAATCCTTGCACTTAATCAGAAAAATTTATGAAATGAAAGAATACAGAGAAATGTAAAATATAATCAATACTGTATTATTCTGTTTAGTAGTTACTATAAACAAATTTGAATGGTGATTATTATTCCAAATTTTTGTGAGGAGATTCAAATAGTATCTAGATAAATGAGGTGTTACTATATGATTTCCTATATAGCCAAGAACCAATAAGTACATAAAAATAAGGCCTATGGGGCTAGAGAGATGGCTCAGTGGTTAAGAGCACTTGCAGCTCTTGGAGTGGACCTGGGTTTGGTTCTCATCATCCACAAACTAACAATCACTTGCAACTCCAGTTACAGGGGATCCGACACCCTCTTCTGGCCTCCCGGGCATTGTATGACATGGATGCACTTAACATACATGAAGGTATAACACTCATACATAAAATTTAAATTTTTTAAAAATTATTTTTTAGTAAGTTCAAGTACTAAAGCAGGGCATTCCAACCTTAATCCTATCAGTCTCTTGTCCTGACCCCAGAGCAGATCAGACACAGGAAAATGGCAGGAGAGCAGAACATCAAGAGCAGAAAACAAGAACCACTTCTCACCTATAGCGAGAGAGCAGAAGCAGCTCTTCCCTAGATACCCAATCCACTATTGGGGATGTCTAATTTTCTGGGATGCTTTGAAAAGCCCACAACCACACTCTCAGGTATGTCCTCTCTTTCTTTCTCAGTGCCTCACTTGCTCTAGACCCTCATGCTTAAGCCTTTAAAATACCTTTATTAGAAGCTACAGAGATGGCTCAGAGGTTAAGAGCACTGGATACTCTTGCAAGAGAACCTGGGTTCAGTTCCCAGCACCCACATGGCAGCTAACAACCATTTGCAAGTCCAGTTCCAGGGGCTGCAATGCTCTTTTCAGACTTTCATGGGCATTGCATGAAATGGGTGTACTTATATAAAATAAAATACCCTTATCAAACCCTACTTCTTTTTTTTTTTTTGGTCTTTTTGAGACAGGGACTCCCTGTAGCCCCAGCTGTCCTGGAACTCACTATGTAGACCAGGCTGGCCTTGAACTCACAGAGAGATCTGCCTGCCTCTGCCTCCCAAGTGCTGGGATTAAAGATGTGCACCACCACGCTCGGCTTCTACTTCATTTTTTAAAAAATTATAAAAAGCTGTGGGGCTGAAGAGATGGCTCAGCAGTTAAAAACACTGGTTGTTCTTGCAGAAAACCTGGGTTCAAATCCCAGCACCCACATGGCAGCTAACAACTGTCCGTAACTCCAGTTCCAGGGGATCCAATGGCCTCTTCTTCCTCCAAGGGCACTGCACAACACAGATGCAATTACCTACATGCAGGCAATACATGCATACACATAAAACAAAAATAATAAATAAAAATATTTTTTAAAAAAAGTATAAAAAGCTGTAAAAGGCAATACTAGTCCATACTTTGGAAAGCATTATTTCCTAGTCCAAGAACTGCCACTGACGATATGGCTTTAATCAGTCAAAATACTGTTATCAAAATACTACATGTAACATCTATCCAAAAGAAAAACCAAAGTTCCCCTCAGCAATCTGGACTGTAGTTTCAGGCAGGCCATAGCTCCCTTGCAGCCAGCCCACTCGATAAACTATTCTTCTAAAAAACTTTTTGTTCAAATACAGTATTTATTTATTTAGTTAGTTGGTTAGTTAGTCTTTTTGAGACAGGGTCTCCCTGTAGCCCCAGCTGCCCTGGCACTTACTATGTAAACCAGGCTGGCCTTGGATTCACAGAGATCTGCCTGCCTCTGCCTCCCAAGTGCTGGGATCAAATATAGTTCTATATTTTAAACTAGAGAGTTTAGGTTCAGTACTGGGATAACTCATCTATATGGAGTATCTTGTTCTAAAGGCATTATGAACTGGGTGTGGTGGTGGCTCATGCCTTTAGTCCCAGCACTTGGGAGGCAGAGGCAGCCAGGTCTCTGTGAGTTCAAGACCAGCCTGGCCTACATAGTGAGTTCCAGGCTAACAGGGACTACAGGGAGACCATCTCAAAAAGACAAAAAAAATGGTGGTTGTGTACCCATGTTGTGCAATGCCCACAGGGGCTCCAAGGGGATATCAGATCCCCTGGAACTGGAGTTACAGATGGTTGTTAGCCACCATGTGGGTGCTGGGAATCAAACCTGGGTCCTCTGGAAGAACAGTCAGTGCTCTTTAGCACTGAGCCATCTCTCCGGCCCCGATGTATTTTCAAAATGTTCTACCCTTTTGTCTCTCTATGCAGCCCAATCTGGCTTTGAACTCACAACCCTCATGACGTAGCCAC